TTCGAACAATTCTAGCGACCTTCTCCACATTCTCTGGAGTTTTCGCAGTGGGAGGACGGCCCGATTTTGGATCGTTCCCGACGTTTTTCCTACCCTCCATAAACTTCTTAAACCACTCGAAAACTTGCGTGCGAGATAGACACTGATCACCATATACTTCTGTCAACAAATTGTAAGTTTCAGTGGCAGATTTTCCAAGTTTTGTGAGGAATTTGATGTTAGCACGTTGTTCTGCATTAGCACTCAGCATTATTCCGACGGAGCTCAGAAACACGATCCGCTTCTAACAATGGTCGCGGCCAGACTAACCGATGCACGTGAATGAAACTTTGTGTGACGGTAGAGGGAAGTCCAAGGGTCAATGCCCTACCCTCCTCTTCGTCAATGACATGGCCGGAAATGAGTCATAAAAGTAATCCGGGTTCTTTATTGCCACACCTTGTATACTAGTGTCATCTGAATGTGTCTGAATGTTTTGAGACTGGGTCAAGATGCAGCACTCATAACTTGATTAGCTTACAGATTATTTCACTTCACATGAATTCATGAAAAATCTCTGTAATAAATAAATTCATGATCAACATCACAGTATTGTTTTGGATGTTCTGCGTTGCTGTAAATTGTGGCCAAATAACTTCTGAATATTTTGTATGTTGTACCCTCTGAAGTGTCACTGATTGTAGCAGTTTCAGGATATTAAGGTCCTTGATTATTATCTGAAATTAAATCACCTTCAGAATGTACTATGAACAGTATTTAGTACTGAATCTCCTCTTACTTGACATGGGGTTTGACCTGCATTTCATTGAAATGACAGAAGGTAAAAAAAAAGGGTAAAGTTATCCCTGTAATAGGCCATAGAGGCCCATAGGTTTGTGAGACGTTGAGGCTCCCACATTTTCTAGACAGTCTGTTCACAGATAGCGGTGAGGTCAGCCTTATGCGCCGGCTGCCCTTTACCCCCCAGGAAGATTCCTGGTACTCACTTCTGTTAGAGGCCGAGTTGACGCCAAGGCCATAGTGCGGCTGGAAGGATTAGGTCAACTGAAAAATCCAGTGACCTCATCAGGAATCGAATCTGTGACATTCCAGCTTGTAGAATAGTGGCTCAACTGGCTACACAGTCACTTGCCCCTTGACAGAAGGTAACTTAGGAGAAATAATTGAAACACATGATCTGGGCCAAGGAAGTGTTCGTGTCATCATCTGTGGATACAGTGACTACATTATGTGATCTCTGTTTGAATGAGGAATGTTTGCACATATTGCTAAGTTGGATGCAGTATGGTGAATGTGTGAATTCGTATCTCACTGCAGGGCCGTGTTTGGGAATGAGCACGTCAGTTTCTGCAGGTTCAGTCCCAACACATTCTGTTCAGATCTAATAAATAGAACAGCCCTTTGTACATGAACTTGATACTGAATATTGTTTGTTTCACTTGTCACCCCCTGAAACAGACTTGGTACCTTTGTTATTCAGATGTCAGACTAGTCTAATTCTTTTCTTGTTGTTTGTGTACTGTCTTCTGTTTATATTTCTGTTCAATTTTCAGGTGATATTTATGTTCTGGAAGTTTAAATTGTGGAAACTGAAGGAAATACTTGAAGATCAAGAATCGTGAGTCTGTTAATTTTTGCATTGTAATATTTTTGCCTTAGATATGAAAATAAGTAGTATATTCAAACATATCAATTGTACTATTAGTATGATGTTTATTTACAGGTGGTATGATGGCTTTTCTACATTTCATGTTGGAGGAGATGGCTTAGTGTACCGGCATGTTGCAGATAAGGTACTCAGTGATATGCAAATGTAATATTTGGGGTTCTGATAATAGTGACAATGAAGGGTATGGTCTTCTGGTATGTGACACCAGATTACACAGTGTCATGTATCAGGATGATATGGCAAAATTTTCTTAAAATCTCAATATCAGAATTCTTTGTGTTCTCACAAGTTTACTTTCGGTTAGAGTCCACGAGGTTTACTGTCATCACTTTAAAGATGTGGTACCTAAAAATTTAGTTACATGGGATAAGGTAGTAGGTGACGCCCGTATAAGAATCTTGCTTATCAGAAAGTCAGTTATTTATCACAGTAAAATCACTACTTCATAAAACTTTCAAAGAAAACTTGTAAACATGATAAAATAAATGTGCCAAAAGTCATGGGCTAGCAGTATGTAAATTTATTTTTAAGTGGCACCACTGTCCCTTGATGGCTTGGGAATGCCCAGAGCAGTATCAGTTGTCAGATGTTCTCTTGTGAATCAGGTTGAACACGGTCAGTCTGCTCATGGCAAGCCAACGTGAATTATCGGAGTTTGAACAGGGCATGATAGTGGGTGCCAGGTGGATGGGACATTCCATTTCTGAATTTGTGCAGTCATTCAACATTCCTCGATCAACGGTGTCACGTGTGTACCAGGAATACCTTTTGGAAGGCATTCCCACCCACCGTGGACAGCGCAGTGGCCGACCACGGGTGCTTAATGATCGTGAGCAGCGGCGTCTAGCTAGAATTGTCCATGGTAACAGACAAGCGACACTGCCTGAAATCACATCCACATTCAATGCAGGAGGTACCAGACATATATCCAGCAGGTCAGTGCAGCGTTCTTTAGCTTCCATGGGATATGGGAGCAGAAAACTGACCAGAGTGCCTCTGTTAACACCACGACACTGGACACATCACCTCGCCTGGGCTTGTGACATCACTAATTGGACCCTGGAGGCTTGGCAACATGTGGCGTGGTCCGATGAGTCATGGTACCAGTTGTTTCGGGCGGATGGTAGGGATTGGGTGTGGTGCAGACCCCATGAGGCCATTGACCCCAGTTGTCAACAAGGCACCGTGCAGGCTGGTGATGGTTCCATACTGGTGTGAGGTGTGTTCACATGGCATGAGTTGGGTCCGCTCGTCCACCTAAACACGTCATTGACCGGTGACCGCTACGTTACACTGCTTGGTGACCATTTGCAGCCCTTCATGGGCTTCATGTACCCCCACAATGATGGGATATCCCAGCAGGACAATGCACCATGTTATCAGGCCAGAGTTGTCCAGAATTGGTTTGAGGAGCATTCTGGAGAGTTCCGATGAATGGTGTGGCCACCACGTTTGCCCGACATGAACCCAATTGAGCATTAATGGGACGTGGTGAAGAGGTCCATTCGCACCCAAAATCCTGCACTTACAAATACCAGGGAGCTGTGGGCAGCTATCCAGATGGCATGGCTCAACATCTCTCCAGAGGTCTTCCGTCCACTTGTGGAATTGATACCATGTCAAGTTGCTGCACTTCGCCAGGCTAGAGGGGATCCTACACAATACTAGGTACCTATCCCATGACTTTTGGCACTTCAGTGTATAATGCACTGTTTTGAAGAAAATGCAGGTCCACAAAACTTGGCTACCAGAACTTGCCAAATTAATGCAACATTTATACCTCATGTATATTTCTTTAGCAATTATTTTTAAGGCATTGCTTGTTTTAATTGACATTTGTATGCAATTAATAGTTCAGATTACAAGCTTTTTTGCATACCAGAACTGGCCAAGAGACCAGTAGTTATGTCCTTATTAAGAACACAGTATTATTAGTAACTTCATGGAGGTGAGCCTTTCTTGAGAAGCCACCAATTGTGCAGCTACTCAAGAACTTCCCAACATTTTATGGAACCCAAAGGTTCATTACTGTGCTCACAAGAGCCCTCCACACATCCCTATCCTGAGCCAGATCAATCCAGTCAGTACCACCCCATTCTGTTTCTCTTGAAATCCATTTTAACATTGTCCACTCATCCACATAATGGTCTTCCTGGTGGTCTCTTTCCTTCTGGCTTTCCCATTAATATCCTATATGCTTTCTTCGTTCGGGGTACATTCCCTGCTCATCTCATCCTTGACTTCATCATTCTGATCATACTTTGTGAAGAGTACAAGTTATGAAACTCTTCAGTATGCAGTTATCTCCAATCTTCCTTCACTTCATCTCTCTTCAGTCCAAATATTCTCAACACCCTGTTCTCAAACAACCTCAGTCTATGTTCCTCCCTTAATGTCAGAGACAAGCACAATAAATCATTGAAGGCTGTAGTACAAGGGCCGGATTATTATGGCCCACCCCTCAAACATTTATTCATAATGTTAGAGAACAAGTTTCACACCCATACAAATCCACAAGCAAAATTATAGTTTTGTATATTCTACAGTATTAATACCATTGAGTTCATTTAAATATCTTGTATTCACAGATGATGCCAGATAGTGAAAAAGTAACAGATGTGAAGAATACAAACCTAGCAGCAAAACTGGCATTGTGCATAGGCATCCTGTCGCGGTCCAGCACGGCTGACTTATCACCACTTCTTTCAGCATTTAGCAGATTAGAGAAGAGTTCACAGTGTCTGTCTGACATGATGCTACCTTTAGAGAAAATAGAGTGAAATTTAAATTAAAACCAGTTCAATTAGGAGTGTGTGAGCAGCTGAACATCTTCTACAGTGGTGAACACAGGCACTTTTGTTTGCGTTTCCTGCACATGCTGAATATGCCTAATTGAAAGTGAATCACTTTTGTTGCTAATTTAAATGCAAAGTGTACATGAAATCTAGGAGCCAGGCACCTCAGTCAGTATAACAGGCTACATGCCAGATGGCCGAGGTTTGATTCCTGGCAGGTGCAAGAGATTTTTCTCTACTCTCCAATGTCCAGACCGACTCTGGGGCCCACCCAGTCTCCTATCCATTGGGTACCAGAGGATCTTTCCTTGGGGCGTGAAGCTGAACACATCCATCTAGTTCCAAGGTCAAGAATGGTGGAACATTCACTCCCCTGTAAGTCTTCATGGTGTTGTACTTTATTAATTAATTAATTAAGCACAGGGACAGCTTTACATTTTGCTCTTTTTTTTACTATTAGGTTAAACACAATGTAATTTTACTCTTTGTATGGAAAGTTCATAGTTGCATTTACACATTGATGAATGGGTGTGTTGGGTAACTCAACCACCCCACCAAGGGACAGGTGCTTCAACCACATTCATCCCAAAATGATTCTCACAGAGATATATGAAGAGGGGGGGGAATATATATATATATATATATATATACCTTACATATCTACAAACATTCTGCTCCAAGTCAAATTACTAGGCAGTTTTTAAAAACACCAACAGATGGCAAAAGAAGCTAAAGAAAAGTCACATGAGTGAGAGTGTTGAACAGCATATCCTGCAGAACTTTTATAAAACACATAGACTATCACCAGTGTGTTAAAAGCCATGTTCTGGGAAAGTTTGCTTCTATTACACAATGGGTAGGCAGGTCTATCGTGTAAATGGGTGAATGTGTTTCATTTTTCCTGTTAGATAGACCTACATTGTATCAGCTGATGAATAAAAAGATACAGATTCTGAAACTAAATATTTTGTGGTCATTGTACATAGCTTATGATGGTGCTCATACATCATGTTTCAGAACAAATTGGGTAAGAGCTCTGATATATTGGGTTTTTGGACTTCATCCATCGTCCTGGTTTTTAAGATAACTAATAAAAAGATGACGTTTCGGAAACTGGATCTGTTTCCATCCTCAGGTGAAGGAAAACACCTATTCTGTTGGGTCCGTTAGAAAGAGCTAGCCTCAATCACTGGATGAGTGGTCCAGTGATTGAGGTGTTATACACCATCGTCAGAATCCTATAGTAACTACTTGTATAACCGGTATGGACCCGCTATTTACCCTTCTTTTAGAAAATTAGAACGCCTGAAAATTCAGTTAGCGAAAACCCTCAATCATATAACTTTCCTCAGGAGATGCAAATCTCAGGGTATCATCCCCAAAGCCTTCTCTGTAAAGACGCCCTTCAATAGTCGACGGACCTCCAAAATTGCCTTACGTGCCAGCCAGGCACTTCTTAGGGATAGGTTACACTATCATTGGCATAAGAAGATTTCCCAACTATATGAAGTCAATCAACTGGAGTGGTCCAGTGATTGAGGCTAGCTCTTTCTAACGGACCCAACAGAATAGGTGTTTTCCTTCACCTGAGGATGGAAACAGATCCAGTTTCCGAAACGTTGTGTTTTTATTAGTTATCTTAAAAACCAGGACGATGGATAAAGTCCAAAAACCCAATATATCAGTGTGTTATACACCATCGTCAGAATCCTATAGTAACTACCTGGCTAAGAGATGTTTTCAAAATGTGATATGCTTATTTATTCCAAAGTTGAAATTATGAAATCTCTGTCTTAGATGATGATGAATTAACAGTATTTCAGAATAATTTATGTGTTTTCTAATTGTGTGCATGTATGCCATAAATAATGAAATCATGCTTTGGAAACTTTGGATTGCAGTGAAATAAAATGTATTTCCAGTTACAGGACCTTACAGTTTATGTACACTATGTATTTATGTAAGATTGGTACAGAAATTTCTTATGCTTCATAAGCCACATGTACAAGTATACTCATAATGAGAGTTAATTTTTCAGTGCGTAGAGAACTATATATTCTATTCTGTAGTCATATCGAAACACAGTTAACCGTGAAATAAGCTTGCACACTCTTAATTGATTGCTTTCCAGCATAGTTACTTTAATTCAGTTAAGAATTTTGATGCAAATGTACTGTTGTGTGAAGTAACCAAAGAGACAGCAGTGCTTATCCCAGTATTTTGCGTTTGTACTTTGCTGGTACTTAACCCTTTGAAGCTTTAAGTTCATCTAAATTAATTTAAAAAATTCAGTTCTTACCTCACAGAAAACACTGAGTTCACTATTGCTTAGACCAGTGGGTTCATGCTGTATACAGAAATAAGAGCCGTTTTTCTGAGAATCATGCCATCAAGGGTGTGACGTGAAAACTGTGGGCATTTTGTTGATATCAGCTGCCCATTTATATGTTCTGGTTTAGAAATTAGATAATAAACCATGTTACATTTCTTAATACGATGAAACTGAGTATCATGTTCCATTTTTATCTTAATTGTCTTTATACACATACACATAAAATGATTTTCATTGCTGTAATAATACTTCCTTACTTACTCCTGGAGCTGAGCCCTTCTTGAGGAGCTGCCAATCCTGCAGCTACTCAAGAAATTCCCAGCATTTTATGGAACCCGAAGGTTCATCACCGTGTTCACAAGAGCCCTCCACTGGTTCCTATCCTGAGCCAGATCTATCCAATCCATACCATCCCATCCTATCTCTCTAAGATCCAGTCTAATATTGTCCACCCATCTACGCCTTGGTCTTCCCTGTGGTCTCTTTCCTTCTGGCTTTCCCACCAATATCCTATACGCGTTCCTTGTCTCCATTCATGCTACATGACCTGCCCACCTCATCCTCCTTGACTTGATCATTCTAATTATACTTGGAGAAGAGGACAAGTTATGAAGCTCCTCATTATGCAGTTTTCTCCAACCTCCTGTGACTTCATCTCTCTTTGATCCGAATATTCTTCTCAACACCCTGTTCTCCAACACCCCCAGTCTATGTTCCTCCCTTAATGTCAGAGACCAAGTTTCACACCCATACAGAATCACAGGCAAAATTATAGTTTTGTATATTCTAATTTTTATGTTTTTGGACAAAAGATGAGAAGACAAAAGGTTCTGGACTGAATGGTAGCAAGCATTACCAGAGTTCAATCGCCTCTTAATTTCCTCCTGAATCAGGTNAGAAATATGTTGCCTCCATCTTCAGGGTGAGAGTGAGAATGATGAGGCTACAGTTACTTCATACAACCAGGTTGCGAAGAAGATGGTCCATGGGAGGGTATAGGAGACAGAATCCAGTCTGGGCCAATAGGAACACTGAAATTAAACTGTATGAACATTTTTATCTAAGAATATATATGGAGTAATGTTTCTCCAAAATGTTTGTATCCACATATAAGACTAAATGATGCCATAACCCATAATAACACAATGTGAACAGTTAAGCCATGAAACCGTCAATATCTGGTTACATTCCTGGAGTACATTAGCATCTCATTTGTTTACATACTTCCGATGGAAATGTAGTAACTGTCGTATTGTTCTTAGATGTTACAACATCTCAATGAGCTTTTGCTGTTTGACAGTGAATGTAAATAAATGATCAGGTTTTTAATATTTTTATTGCTGCTGGAACATTATTCTGTTTCTTTAAATTATAAAATTGTACAGCATTCTGTTTCTTTAAATTATAAAATTGTACAGCATTGTAATTGTACAGCCGTTGTGATGCACTGTATAATTGTAGGGCTTTCAATCCCTTATTCTATAAATTTGTATGTTTCTGTTAATGCTGTACAATGGAAAAAACTTCATGTTGAATTTGGACTTTGTTAATTTCTTAACCTTCACTTGTTCAGTTGTTTGCAGGTAGTAAAACATATGTCCTTGTAAAGCCCATAGGCATTTTCTGCTTTGAAGTAACATTTTATCAAATTGTTTTTAAAGATAGGTTGATCTGAAAAATAAGGTACATTGAGTCAAATATATCATCATTGTTCTGTTTTTGTGTTTGACCTGTTGAGATCTGTTAACAAATGTTACAAAAAAATCCTTCTATCATTTCAGAGGTTTTTACATTTACATTACATTGCATTCCATAGATCCAAAGTTAGTCAAATGACTGTAGGATGTGGAACATGTCATATAAACACAAAGAATATCTAAAAACAGCAATAACAACAGTGGTTACACATAAGGTTATTCTAAGTGTCATGCTGTCAACGTATGCTATTTACACAACCCTCACATGACCGAGTCACTATTCAGGCAAGTATTCATCAATAGAGTAGCATGAGTGTTTGATTAAGTATCCTTTTATCGCTATTTTAAACCATGCTTTTTCCTTCATAAGACTTTTGATATCCAATGGCAATTTGTTGAAGATTTTGATCCCAGTATAATATGCACTTTTCTGAAAGTACGATAGGTTGGCAGTTGGTTTATGAAGACAGGTCTTCAGACTACTTTTCTCTCTTGGTTGAGCTTTAGAATTTGGGGAGGGAATCATATTAGAATTCACCTTCTCACATATTTTTGTGTGCGAGCGCATGTGCGCCAGCACATGTGCCATTTAGAAATGGCACTTTTTTTTAAGACAGAAAAATAAATATAANCAAGTCGTAGCCACAATTAATTATAACACTGTTGTGGGTTTACACAATTTACAAACCCTACACACTATTCTATTCACTCTATCCTCAGTAGTCTTCACGTATTTATAACATGGGAGCTATACAAGTCTGTGAATTACACACTCCCAATATAACTGTACTACAGCGCACACAGTCTTAAAGGCACACAATAAGTGTTCACTGGCTGACTTCTCAGTTATCGCACACTGTCACATAAGATCTCACCACGCATTCGGGTCTTCTTTCCGCGACTGCTACTATATATCAGCTAACTGCTTAGGCATTCCAGTTCTCTTATAACCCCTCAGCGAGACAGTGGAAAATGTGCCTCGCTTCCCTGTTGCATATTGTCATGTTTACAGGTGTTGCTATGCAATGCTGCTGAGAGTTGTTTACTGCTGTGTAGTAACCGCGGTATCCCTTGTTACGTCACTGTGGGAAGTGCTGTTACATCACCGCGGGGGAGGGGGTGTTTACCGAACGTTGTGTACTGATGGAAAGAGTGGGGGTATGCGATGTCACTCGCGAAACCGCAGAGTTCACATGACCCCTACTTCCTGTTGCGCCATCCACGTCACAATATATATATCATTAATGAAATTTTGAAATGTTTTTATCCTACTTTCCTTATTTTAAAAAAATAAAAGCAGGCTTATTAATATGCTCTTCATTAATTTTTATATATATCGTCATGTG